CTATAGGGTTTTGACGTTTTAGTGGCCACTCTAGTGTCCTCTCCAAGTAGTCCTTGGCGAGTCTCTATAGTGGCCACTAAAAATATTCCCAATAACAGCTTCAAAAAAACTCGGAAAATGTAGCCCTATTAAAGGAGCATCATCCAAAAAACCGATAAAACATCGACACGAAGGATAATGTAGCCTTGAGGGCGGAGTCAACTTTTTGATATTTTCTGATAATTACTGATCAGACTTTATACTCAGGACTCTGGCGGATCATATCGCGCCTCTACCGTGTCTGCGCTCTCCACTAACCAGACACTATCTCTTTCATTATCGTGTCAAGACCCAGTTTCTGATGCCAGCCGTGACCAGGGCCTTTTTTTCACCTTGGGTTTGATAATTTCGTGGCCTCGGTACACCATGGGCCTCTGTAGTGAGCTGACGACCTGCGGATGGACTTTGGCAAAGTTTTTCAGGTTCTCCGACGGCTTTGCCACTCGGGGAGCGTAAACGTTGCTGGAAATTATTAATAAAAAATTCTTCGACGTTTTTTTTTTTTACCTCGTCGGCTTGGCAACAAAAGTTTTGGCGTTGAAAAAGTTGGGTGGAACCGGCTGTTCGTCAGGCTTTTGCATCGTCGCGAAGCTGTCCACGGAATATTCGATTTGGGGGGTGGGCTAAAAAGCTGATTTTTTTTGAGGAGAAGAATGGTTTAAAATAGGCCAGAAAATTTAAACGAGCATAGATAAAGGTCTCGAGGCGAAGAGCCATTTTTTTAAAGATTAAAGTTCCATTTCAAACCTTCTTGACGAGTTCCGCATTGGTGAGGTACTCGCTCAGCTCTCGTTCTTTCTCCTGCGAATAGGCGTTGTCTGAAACATCGTTACCCTTTTTTCGAAGCATTTTGGTCCAACTTAAAAAAGACTGACCTGTCTGCGCCCTCTTCTCTCTCACCGGACAAGAGCTCGGGCCTTGGTGATGCGAGTCGGAGCATTCCTAGTGGCCACTTTAGGAGCGTCCGTATCCTTAAGTGACCCCTAGAAC